TTGGGAACAGACTCCTCCTTGATCTTAGTACCACCAAGAGCCCAATCTGATGTTTTTCCAGATGATGCATCAGTCAGTTTTGTATGAACTGGTGCTAGTGAGAGTTGGTTAGCATTCATGCAGTTGATGGTTGTGGAGGTCAAAACATGTGAATCATTGGCCATGTCCTGGAGTGGGGCATCAAGCAATTGATCCTGGGATGTTACAAAACGTCACATTACCACCAGATACTGTAAGGTACTGGACCCACAACTAGTATTCTGACTACATCAAGAAGCAGTAGTACGGCACATGCTTTTGTACCATATATTGCCTACTATGGTACATACTGATACATACAGCAAGGAACACACTCTGTCAGAATAGCCCTTTCTGATACAAAGCTACTAGGAATACTACTAAGGTAGCTTAAAAGTAGAAATAAAGTAGCTTCTTTTAGGTAGCTTTGAAGCTACTTAAATGTAGCTTAGTACATAAAAAATTTCAGGTGTTGTATAGGCTGTGGGAGTGACTATCTAATAGTGATGTAAATTGTGTGCTAGAAGAAAAGTGAGTCCATGCTCTTATCAAGGATCGACAAACTATGAAATCTAAGACAGATCATAATGAAGATTGAGTGATGTGTGAATCGAATGAGTCAAGTCACTAATGCTAGCGAATCAACTGAGTCATGTCAATAAGATGGATCCATAGGATTAAGTGAATCATGTATGTAAAGTGTGTATGAATCATAGGTATGTGTCGTATGTATGTGTCGTAGATATGAATCATAGCCACAATCTGATATCCTACAGACAGCATAGTACTAGGCTCAGCGGAGTCATTCCAGCCAAACCATTTGTACATTTTTAATCCTATATTCATACACAAATATTGTGATATGTTCCACTACTAGTAGGAACCTGCAGCTCCCCCATATGGTTAGAAACATCTTTAAAATAGCTTTTGATTCATGTGCCTATCATCTTAAGCATCTGTTGGGGAGGACCAAGTTATAGCTGTTAGAGTGAGTTGACCCTTACTTAACTCTATATGTGTATTTTTTATGGTGTGTTGATTTTGGGCACTACAGGTGGGATTAAAAATTGACTTGTACTATAGCTACAGGGCACGTGACTGGTGGGATTAAAAAATTCAACACTACTGAGCACATGCATTTGTATGAATTTTGTTTTTTTAGTCAAAGTAGTCATTGCATGCAAAATAAGGGCCTAAAACCTACAACTGGTGTGTACATTTTGTAGCCCACTCTATATGAGAGTACAAATTGTACACAGCATGTTTTACCAGAAATTGACTTAAAAGCTACTTTAGAGTAGCTCAAAAGCAGCTTTAAAGTAGTAGTAGGTTATCAAGTAACTTTTATGTAGCTTCCAGCAGGCAATAGATTGACTAGGTAGGAGGAAGTCACTCAGTGGACATATGCAAAGGGGATGAGCATGAATAAAACTCTTGACTCAGTCAGAGTACATAGTTGTGGGTCCAGTAGCTTGTTATTGGAAATACATCATTTTGTAATGTCCCTGATGAGTGCAGAAAAGCAGATTAATGTCCTATATTGGTGGGACTCTTCTTCCATGCTGTACTTCTTGTACCATGAAATGAGTTGATGGTGTGTGGTGGAGCAAAGCTTGCTAGTAATGGAACTCTTCTGTTTGAGCACTTTTTTCATTGAAGAGGGGGGACAGAACCTTGATATTCTAGAGATTTCTTCCTGTTTTCAGTGACAGTCATGTTGGGATTTCCTCTTCTAGTACAGTTGCAACAATTTTGTTGAGGAATGGCAGCAAAGAAGGAGGATGGAGCTTTCCTGGTATGCATGTGCATGTGAGTAGTAGTTGGCATTGCAAAGAAATTATTTGGTGAACTTGGAAAAATTGCTTGTTCATGTAGGTATGATTCTGCATGTGTTGCAAAGAGGAGCAGGAATTCTGCATGGTTGCTCTATTTACAAGTGCATATTTGATTGGTTTCCTCCTGCACACAAGATACAAGGTTTAAATTTCAAAGGTGTTTGTGTTGAAGATAACAGACCATGTGAGAAAGAAGAAAAACAGCAGCTTGACTGCATTAGGGAGAATTGGATGGCAGGATTGCAGTGACAGAGAACAAAGGATTGTGGGTAAAGCAAGAAGATTTTTAAAAATTGTGATTGACAACAGTGCAAGGGCTTGCAGTGGGACTTGTTGCTTCTTTGTGCCCGGATGGAAGGCAGACAAAAGATGTACTGGTTTTCTGTAACAACCCATGGCAACCCTCACCACTAAAATTTGGTTTAAATGCAACCAAAACTTAAGTAAAGATGAGGTGAAAGAGGAGGCACAAAAGATATTTAGGGTGCATAGTTTAAAAAATGGTTACGACAGGTTGCTATTGGTTGTGCACACTTTTTGTAATTTAGTACTGGTACTGTTAGGGTTCCCTAAATCTCAGTCCTGTACAGCAGTCAGCCCTGACAAAGTGTGACTTGCAAGTCTAGCATCTTAGACACACTAGTATGAGTACTATTGCTGGACTACTGTTACGGGTAACACAATTATTTCATCTTGTTCTTCTTGCTGAGAGTGGTGGACAAATTCTCACTTGCATACATTCCTACTTGTGCTTCTTCTTCTTCTTCTTCTTCTTCTTGGTTCTTTCAAATAGAGAAGATTCAAAATGATTTATCCAAAATGATTTATCCAAAATGCTGAGAAACAAATATGCATCAATACACACAAACCACAACAGTGAGTAGTATTAGTTGGTAGCACCAGTGCAGCAGTACTCATCATAGAAGTACTACTAATTACTTATTTTGCTTGCTGTACTGCTATCATGAGGAAGTCAAAAAAAGTTAACATCGTGCCACAAAACAAGTATCCAGCTTGGACCCCATTCTAGCAGGTCCAAGACAAGCAATTCTTTTCTGTTTTAAATAATTGTTTACTAATTCTAGTATGCTTCGTGTTTTGACCTTTACAGTTGCCATCCTTGTGCAAGGTAAAGCAAGCAAGCCTTCAAGAGATGGTTGGGTGCGCCTCCAATGTTCACTGGATGCTTGGCTTGCTATGGCAGCAAGTATGGAACTTTGGCACACTTTGGCTTGGTCGTTTGGTGTGGGCTGGAGTGAGTTTCTGGTGCATGCTCTATGACACCACAGCCTGGTAATTCTGGGAGCAGCCCCCCCTGCAAAGACAAATTCTCCTACAAAGGTCACCACCAGTGTGCCCTTTTTGGTTACGGTATCCTCTTCTTCGAGCTGGGACTCGGCTACCGGCGGGGTCTCTGAGCTGGTGCAATCACCCCTGCCCGCAGAGCAATCCTGCACAGATGCAACAGGCTCCGCAGCGGAGCTTGGCTCGGGGTTGACGCCCAGGTGGCCGTGGAGAGACTGTCCACCACGGTCCGCAACGGCAACACTTGGAAAGGCAAAGCCGATCGAGTCAAGGACCCTTCCGGCCCTTCCCTGGATCCCGACTAGCTTGCAGGAGCAATCTTCTCCCTGGTACGTAGTAACAGTGTACTCGTTGCTGTTGAAGTGACTGGAATCTCCGTCCTTGTAGACCTCATTGTTTGCCGTCATGAACCAAACGACCGTTACAAATCCCTGGTTTCAATTTCTATGAATAGTCCAGACATCAATTTTCACAATGGGGTTCTGGGTGGTAATGTCGTCAATGGTGCACTTTGTGGTTTCTTTTGTACACATTTTGCATTCGTGGGATTCCTCTTTCCACTTGTTGGAATCTATGAGGAATTTCTCTTTCCAGTCACTTTTGTTGGACTTGTGGAGTTCGAAATAGATTCGCTTGATGAGCGAGGGATAGCAGAGGGGGGACAGCTTGTTCTTTTGGTAAGGCCCGACATAGATATGCACGGTTCTGACACCAGAAAGATTGCAACCAGATGTGAAGTTCTGACCACCCTTGCCCTCCATTGTGGTTTGAACATGCCAGTCGATAACCTTGCCGGCAGTAGCATCTGTTGGATAGAGCAGCATTTTGTTCTGTTTGTGGATGGATTGGTGTAGGATGATATGCACCAACACTTCTTATCTATCTGTGTCTGTTCTCGTTGTTTCGGTGGGAATTTTGTTTTATGCTTCGTCGGAGAGCAGCAAGATCTTCATATATTGGTACCTTGTACTGGTTTTACCAAAGTGAAAGAAGAATACAAAACATGGGCAAGACCATTAGTATGTGTAACCCATGTGTATCGTTATAGGCATATGTATTATCATAATTTTTTACATGCTGATAAGAATATGAAAAACGGCGTAGTGCAAAGATGGTTCATTCCCGCATACACTAATTATGTCATTTTCCCCTGCTGCCTCCTTATATTTCTCAGATAAACGTTATTTGGAATCTTTGAGTAAAGATCTTTAGTTTCCTGAACAACATATCTTTTCTTGACCGGCTGGCTCGTTTTGTATTTTTCATACATACATACACACTTGTCGTGGCGAACCATGATCAATGTATTATATATTTGAGGTATCTCCAACCAAACATGTCTAGTGTCGTAAGCCGGCGCACCGTAATAGTCGGTCAGCGTGTTGGTCAAACCACGCGTTGCATACACGCAGAGCAAAAAAGATCGACAGTGGCAGGATTCGAACCTGCGCGTACGAAGTACAATGGATTAGCAATCCATCGCCTTAACCACTCGGCCACACTGTCGTGCAACACTCGCCAACTTTTATCTGTTTATATACTGAACTAAAAAAAGATGTTTCTACCATGGATTCTTTTCTCAGCAGACGTTTCGTGAGGTTATGGACCTAACGCACACTCTATTACAGTAAAATCAACACAGTATTCCTGTTAACAGTTTTTCTTTATGACAAGGTATTTTTTAGGCACCGTACGTACGGTACAGTTAGTTCCTTTCGTTTCCTTAACGTACCGGCCGGTACGTACCGGCAGGCACTTTTTTACTAGTAGTACAGTACATGCGAATGGTGAAAAGCGAAGCGGAACCAGAATATTCCTCCTTACCGAAAAAATCATCAACATCATTGATAATTTTTATTTGTTCGGAAGAGAAAAAGAATCATTGAAGCATTAGCAGAGTCCCAACAATCGATAGTACTCGTACGTAAGGTACGCACTAAACGGTAATAACCGTACCCAGATAGGAGGGAGGATGATCCGAACGCATAGTTTGACATCGGCATCAGGGCTGCATATACCGGTACTTCTCCACGCCTTTCAAACTCTCATTTACAGAGTAAATTAGCGCTCGTACTATTTTATTCCCTGTACGGTAGGAATACAAGGAACCACGAGTACACCACAGCATACCGTAAGTCGATCGCTAAAGAAGGGACGGCTCTACCTATTTCGTTTTTCATTTTCGTGAAAAACCACATGTGTCCACCCCATTGACAGAATAGAAACAGGATCGTTCTCATCTACTGAATCTACTGAAGATCTTGGGATCTCACCAAGCACTGAAGTAGCACTTTCTCCGCAGAACGGCATTCTGAGGGAAAGGAGCATCAGGCATCACGTAACAACACACTGCCTCATTGATATTTCTCGATATTTTTTCGGCTGCTTTGGTGTTGGCAAGAAATGAAACGATCCCAGACAAAACGAGGCGAAACCCAAAACATGTCTTCAAACTACAGTAACAACATCACTTCCAGTTCAAGAAACAGTTCAGTAGGAACGACTGCTCTTGCAATCCTTGTTAATATTTGGGTGATTTTCGTCCTTGCAATAGCCATGACAAGCGGTACAACAAGAGTATCTGCTGCGCTACTGCATACCACTAGCAACCTCCTTCATCAGAACTATGGTGAGGCCTCACAACAGCGGGACAGGGGCGGTAGCAAGGTTCAAAACGCCAACACTACATCTTTGTTGTCGCCGTTTTTTGTCAATACCTACAATCCGTGGTCGTCCGAACAAAAAGGAATTAGCGATGCAAATCCACCACAAGACGCAAACCACCACCACCACAGCATCGACGACGACAACGATCTATCGCTCTCCGTTCCCTGGGGAGAAATTAACATTGTGGTGGTAACGGACGTCCATTCGTGGATCGCTGGAAACCACAGGGACGATCCTCGCAACTGGCCACTCGACGAGCACCGCAATCGGGTTCAGGACGCAGACTATGGGGATATATTGAGTTTTTACCAGCGTCTCGGGGATTTGGTTAAAGACCACAACAGTAACAACTACGGCAAACAGCGAGACTTGTTTTTTGTCATGAACGGAGATTTTGTCGACGGAACGGGGCTTTCTGAGAATCCTCCGCGGCACCTGATGCCGCTCCTGAAGCACATGCCGTGGGATGCCATTAATGTCGGAAACCACGAATTGTACAGCGACAAAACGGTGCAGTTTTTGGTGCAAAGGGATGGATACGACTCCAAGATGGGAGGGAACCGCTCCACCATCTATCCCGTTGCAACTCCCCCGATTTGGAATGGTCGGTACCTTTCTTCCAACACATTGCTCACAGAAACGATGGAACCAATGACGGGGAAACGGTACACCTATCTGGTGGGACCCAATACCAACATCACCCTTCTGGCCTTTGGCTTTCTCTATGATTTTCATGAAAACGGTCCAGCCACGACTACCCTGTCGGTCGAGAAAGTCATTCAGCAAGACTGGTTTGCCGATGTCCTGTCGGGGGGGAGAAATAGCAGCACCGGCAACGACTACGGCCATGAGGCCTGGAAGCCGTTCGACGCGGTGCTGGTCCTGGCCCACATGGACTGCCTCGATCCCCTTGTGGCCACGATTTTGGAGGGGATCCGGGCCTTGCTGCCACCCGATAAAAAGAACATCCCCGTGCAATTTGTTACCGGACACACCCACCGGAGATGCCATGCCAGGCTCGATGACCACTCGGAATCCTTTGAGGCCGGTCGGTTTCTAGACACCATTGGTTTTGTATCTTTTGACGCAAACACAAGGACAACACAGGCAACCAACGGAAGCAACAATAATCGTCAATCTGATTCTAATTTCAGGCATCGGTTTCTGGACGCCAACAAGCAGTCCCTCTTGCAAACCCTCATGCGCTCTTCGCATCTATCGCATGGCGGCAACCAAAGAGGCCTGTCCTTCTCGGAAGGATTTGGAACACCCGAGGGACGAGCCCTGACCCGGGCCATCCGAGACACCCAGAAAGACCTTGGACTTGACGTCGTGCTCGGGTGTTCCCCAAGAACCTATGGCATCTTTGACTACGAAACCGAACCCATCACACGCGCACCGTCTTCCTCCGATGCCAATCCTCCCAGGAATGATTGGTTCTCCGAGTCTTCGTTGTGGGGGCTCTATGTGGCGAACGTGCTCCCTAGACAGTTGCTTCGGCCCATGCTGGCATTGAGCCGACAGGCAAGGGACGACTCATCGGGGGAGGAAGCTGCAGAAGCCCACCCGTTATTCCTTGCTGGAACGGGATCACTCCGGTACACCCTCTTTGAGGGTCCCGTCACGGTCAATGACGTTATAGCGATTAGTCCCTTCAACAACTCGATCGTGGAGATCGTTGCAAAGCGCAAAGGCACCACCGATAGCCCAGGTGAACTCCTCCCATGGTACGGGCGCGAACTCTCGTTGTTACTAAGAGTCACCAACCGATTGTACGCGACTTCGGCCGAATACGGAATGCCGGCATTCGTGGCATCGATTCTCCCGCAGCAGGACTTTGTACGAGAGAACGAAGGGTTCTCCTTGCCCGCAGCTTCCGCCATCGATCCCGATCGAATCTACCGTCTCTATACGACGGACTACGATTCCTGGAGGCTCATTTCCGTCCTGGCGATACTGAAATTTGGAGAGGGCACCGAAGATGGATCTGTGGACAACAACACGTCGTTTTCTAACGATGCCGTCGACAAAATGTTGGCATCGGAACCCCTGCCGCCGATCACCCTCGGGCGATCCTACGAGACGCAGAAGGCCTGCCTTGCCCTCGGCAAAAACGACGGCGAGAACGAGAATCACCACAACATCGACCGTTGCTACTACACGGCGGAGCTGTGGAAGGAATTCGTCCGCGACGCAATGCCCTGCGACGCTGTGGCAACCAGCAGCAGTGGCCACAACATCCGCGATCCTCCCTTGGTGTCCTCAAACGGCGGCGGCAGCAGCAGTAGCGAGGATGGTCACCGCATCGATCTCCTGCGCGCACAACTCCTGCAGCCGTCCTTTGGGTACTCCCTTCACGCGCAGCGTCCCCGGCAGGAGGCCGCCCCCCATACCGGGGACCCGCCGCCGCAAGAGGCGTCGGTGGTCGACCTAGCCGGCGACGAGAAGGCAGCCGCGGCCCTCGTCGGAATGGCATCGATCGCCGCGATCGCTCTGTTGTTCTTTTTCCCGCCACGGGGAGACAACGAACCGCCAACGCGAGGCGGGGCTCCGCCGAGGGCTCGGTTTCGGCAGGGTCGTTGCAACGAGGGCCGGGACCACTCCCGGAGGCGAGGTAATCACCGGACACCGACGGCCCACGCCACCACAAACGGCAACAGCGATAGCGACAGCGACAGCAACCGTAATTCTGTGCCCGACGAGGAAGTGCAGCTCATACCCCTCCGCCGCATGGATACTGGAAACCTAAGCGAACATTCGACCCAGAGCAGCAACTACGGAAGCAGCTATGGATCGATATAACAACGAACCACTGGAAACAGATATTGTACTTATCACAATAATACAACGACATACTTATCGTTCTACTCATTTGATTATAAACCCCACGACGAAGATTTGTTTCGAACTGAAAGACAACAAAGAACGCGAGCACTACTAAAAAACGACCAGCCTTCTCGTTGCTACGGATACGGATACACCAGGCCTCGAATAGAGTCCAGCCGCAATGGCCACAAAACCGGGACATCTCGCTCTCTATCAGCGAAAACTTTCAGAGTAGAACGGAACAAAGGCAATGACCCATGCCAAGATCGGAACCACGCAATGCGCTGGTAGGGAAAAAGAAGGTGACAAACAAGAAACAAACATACCATACCATACAGCATTGTTTCGCGGCGCTGCTTTCTGCCGCTGGTGCAACTGGCCAGGAACGAATGAATCCAAACGAGCATTATCCCAACGATGCGCGCTTCATGCCTACCGCACTGCGATATCGTCGCACGGTAGGAACAGTAGCACCGTAGTTCCCTTATTTTGCCTTCAAGAAATTTAGAGAACTGCCACTGTAGCGGTACTGCTTTGTATTGCAAGAGCTCATGCTCCCAACCTCTTTCTGTTGTGAATCTCCAGTACCGTACTGTACCGCAAGGTAGCACGAGCCATGCAGTTTCTAGTACCAGAAAAAGTCTTGGTTGCTACTCCTTGCCTCTGTCAAACAACGCAAATTCCACACCTTTTGGTCCACTTCTTTTTCGCGGCAGGAACTGTGAATGAAGTTCGGTTCCGTATCGTACTTCAATAAACATGAAACTCGTAGTATCAACCTACGGTATCTCCCCGTAGCTACAGGGATACGATGCTGTAGCGCACGTTTCTTGCTCCAGATCGGTTTTCGTTTTTCCTTCTGGCGTAGTGCTTCTGTTTACATCGCTCGGTTCGGGTGACGAACGAACACTAGTTACGAACGGAAGTATCGTACGAGCTGTACCAGTTTGCTAGATACAGTAAGGGTCCAACACCTTACAGGAAATGCCGTACGGTACGTACGTACCTCAGAGCAGTTCGTACAACACACCTTCGTGCTTTCCAACTGGATGGCAGTCCATTCACTCGTACCATTCTGTACGTACGTTGTAAGCGCATACACTCCAGACCAGTTTAGAAACCGCACGAGTCCCATGTGACTGCAATGTGACCCAACGTACCGTTCCTCTCGCACCTTACCAATTCCTATGCATGCGGTAGCTATTACGAAGATTGTACTGCCCGGAATGGAATCGTCATTTTCCATCACTTCCAACGAAGAACAGCTATTGCCGCGCGTCATCTTTCAACGGCCATTAGCGAATGGACAGAGAACAAGATTCGGGTGCGTCATTTTTCTCCAGGTTCGCTTGATCGATCAAAACTGTTAAGTAGTCGAAACGTAAGTTCTTTTCGAGTGCGTCATTCCTCGCTAGATAGGGTTTTTAGAACGGAATTTCCGTCCTTCTGCTACCGATCCATGGCAGTATCCTCCAATCGTCTCGCAGTGCACCCACTGGAGTTCCTCCGTCTGGAAGTAAGTGTGTCTTCAAGTTCGCTGATGGCAACGGAGGATACTGATGGGTCTGGTCGGAGTAGGAAAGGAACAGGGTCGAAGAAACTGTAAGAAGAACCGTCCCCATTATTTATCATTTGAGGGACCAGACGTGAATTACGAACTCTGTACATCAGCTTACGATGGCGTACGAGTCCGTTGGATTTATCCTAGGCTCGTATGACTGCCGACGGAAGTTGACACCTTTCTTCCACACGATACACCCAAATTTTTGCGTTTGAGACCAGAAGAAACGAACCAAACCACCGGCGAACAAAAATACGAATACTTTCTTCTTCTCGCATCTTGCACATCAGCTCGTATTCATCGTCAGTGTTCACAATAACCTAGAGTAAATTACCAAACCAGCAACGATACATCTATCATCTGCCCATTCGGTAGATCTCACTCTCTATATCCATATATTTTGTGTTGAGCCTGCATAGTATGCATTGCATTTCATTTCTGTTGCACAACAATTCAATTTCATATTCCTTCTATTCATTACGTTAGAACCGCTGCAATTCAAAGTTCGAAATCCAAAACAAGACTACCTCACCGAGTAGAAGTACTGCACAATACAACCCATAGACCGATTCACAAAATTACACGATAATATACCATAGGACAACACAACATGATTTCCGTCACTTCATCCAGAACACTTTTGGCTTCTGTTTCGTGCCTCCGCCACACCGCCAGCAGACGTTGCGTTTCCACCCAGGGACAGGAAGCCGTGGGACGATTGAAGGATGTCCTGGAGCAGTACCGCGCCCAGAAGTACGTATGGTCTGATACTTTGCACCACGTTGTGTTGTGCTTTCTTTCTTTCTTCTGCGATACGATTGTACTAACCTATGTTCCGCTTTGTTTCGCTTCAACGAATCTCTTATGCATCTTATCCCATCTTATCCACTCCCAGCTATCAGCAAGAGGTTCCGTCCCGCTTCAAGAAGGAGCTCGTCGTCCAGTGCAACCGGACCGCGGCGCTGCAAACGGTTTCGTCGAATCACCACCCCGCCGTCGCGGGAATCGAGACGCTCCTGCAAAACATTGGCGTCTTTGGAAACCAGATTACCCATGACGACGTGGAGGCGATTGTCTCGCACCTCGACGAGCGTTCCGCTGACAAGATCCTTCAACGCGTCTTGTAGGCGTCGGGAAGATGGCGTATCAGTTCTGTTAACTGGGCACGCAAGCTCTGAGCACTGGAAGCTTTGCAAGTCAGAGCAAATCAAGCCGCAGCGAAGGTCCGCTTCTAGCGCGTATCGCCGTTTCGTGTGGCGGAACGACAACGTTTCTCAAGCACGTCGATCCAACGACAGTGGCTGCAACGCCTACATCGTATCGCCCAATACAACACAGTATCCCATCCCCACACCACGTGCACATATCGTACCATTTTTACAACATCCATACAACTACAACTACTAATAGATACATATAAGATTAACAATGAGATGCAACAAATGAAGACTGACATCGCATTTTGTCCGAATATCTGTTTGTGCGGTAGGTCTATGCCTATCTCCCAAATCCGATGGCATCGACCAATACTTCAACAGAGTGTTGTTGACAATGTGTTAGATCATTTTTTTGTTCGGAAACACTCCGAGTTTGAAATTCCTGCGACTGAAATAGTTTTTAAAGCGAGACAGGTTGAACTTGCGTACCCAAATGAGGTATGTAACGTACTACTGTTCTCTTCGTAGAGCCATGTGAAATTTGAAATTTGTACTCGTACCAGTTCCGGGGCCTGTCCCACTCTCATTAGTAGGGTTCTTTCCTCGAACGGGAAACCTGTAGCTACGTACAATAATGGTAAGAATTGTACGAAAGGGTATCTTTTCCTTTTCTGTTCAGAATTTCGGACCAACGAGCTGACACCATGTCGTCGACACAAAACTTCAAAAACCACCTCGGCCTACAAATTTGCATCGAACAATAACGCTCTAAAGCAAATAAATAGCAAACCAGAAACAGAGGCAAGCMACGTTCTGCACCATGTCACGGAAGAACAAAAAGAAGAAAAGCAAAAACAAGGGAAATGCTCGGTTCGGCCGCGAGCGGCGTCCCCTCAACGCTGCAACCCCCTCCCAATCGAATCCCCAGGATCCCAAGCAAAATGAGGCCACTCCGCTGCCTTGGGAGAACCTGAAAAAGGCCGATCTCGGTAAAGGATTCCCAACGGTTTATTGTCGGTACAAGGCAGCGACAAATCGGTTCGTTGCATACTTGATCGAACAGTGCCCTTCCGTAATGGGACAACGGGAGGGCAGCAGCAACGACAACTACGCCATCGATTCCCTCATGGAAGCCTCCGATATGTTGGCCAACACCGTTCACACAATAGATCGATACGTCCTCAGTGACCTGAAGCTAGCGATCCGGATCCGCTCAAAGGTTGCCAGATCGGTATACGGTGGAGGTGATATAGGCCACAAGTACTTTTTGGATGTTCTGATCTATTGCTGGTCAGTTTTGAATGCGTTGCCTAAGGTACCAACGGTGATCAAGGAGGGGGAAGATAGCTCCGATGTGGATGGAGGCCGGAAGAACATGTTCGAGACCCTAGCAGAAGAAGACAACGAGGACGATGAAGATTCCGCTGATGCAGAAGACGACGTGCGTATGTTCCCACCTGCACCGGTAGAGCGCCCATCCTTGTTGCCACAGCCCCTGACACTAGACGAATTGATGAAGAGCGACGAGCGCGCTGACTCTATCTTATTTCTATTGGAGCTGGAAAGAAACATGGAGGCTGTTGTGATGCAATACGGATACGTGGCTTCAAGTTTTGAGTTCTCTCTGGGTATTTGCTGCCCGGGGAGCGCCATCGTCAAGAAGCTTCTGGGGGCGGCTGTTGTCACCAGCATGGCCATTGAACAGGTTCGCCGGCACGAAATGGCTCTCATGATCCATCACGAGCATCTCACGACCCCCTATCGCGTCCTGGCCACGGTATTCTTTCCAGAAATCACGCGTGAAGTAATGGCGACCGTGCGGGAACACGCCGAAGGCAGCTGCACCGAGAAAGATGTCACCGTGTACCTGGGGGATTGCATCGAGTGCTACTTTCGAACTGCGAGTGACCAATACAACCGAAAAGACGAAATTACCCAAGAATTCTGCGACAAATGGGAGGTCAACCCGACCGGCACCAAAGAAATGGAGCAATATTTCTGGGCGATACATGCATGCGTGAATTACGAGCTCGGCATGGGATCCAAAACTGAGGATGGCGACTTGGACGAGCGACAGCAAATGTCCGACGGAGTCCTCCCCGAGCCCTATAGCTGGTTCAGGGGTATGCCGGCCATCGGCGGGGATCGAGCCATCCACCACACACTGCGCCTCCTACAGGGCTTTCGGAACGCCATCCACAATAGCCCTCGCGACTGTCTCCCAATGCCGATCCGCGGCTTCTTTGGAAAGTTCCCCTGGATCCCACGCAAGAGAAAAATCCGGGACCTTGACGGGCTGCTCATGACCGACATCCTACCGGGCTGGACGGAAATGTTCTTCCGTGGGGTGCTCGAGGAGACCAAATTACCCCGCGAGGACGAACTTTGCCCCTTGATAGGCCTCATGCGGACCTACGTGGCGGAATCGGAGAAGCCCGTCTCGTGGTCCATCGTGTTTGGCATACACGCAATGCTCACCGCAATTCTGGAGGTCGAACCGATCTTCGACAAGCTGGTGCAGGTTGGAAAGCAGGTCTTTAAGAATTACTTTTCACAGCTTGAGTGGGCCAGGAAGCTTCTCTGCATCGACCATAAGGCCAACTCTCCCGTGCCCATGCCGGACAGCTGGTGCCAGAATTTTGATAGTGTTCGCTCTCTTGAAAATTTTAGCCAGCCGAGCTTTGGCAACCGAATGCTCTGGAATCCTCTATGCGCTGGAAGTATTCTCTCCTACCTATGCTACTATGGAAACCTCGAGCTCGGCTGCCACATGATCGATTGCAATTCCCAGCTGCGGATTGTCCTCTACCTGTACCATGCCCTGCTGGAAAATAGTATTCTCAGTAAAGGGAAGGCCCTCGTGCTGGATATGCTATATGACAGGTTCCGCCACAGCAAGGCGATCTGGGGGGGATCCACCCTACCGAAACGAGGTGAAATCGTCCGCAGATTCTGGTTCTGTTTCGGGAAAGACTTCATCGATTCCAGGAGACTGTCCGACGACGCAAACCAAACCATTCGGGCGATGCAGCTTGGAAAACCACTGACCAAGACTGCCCATGCTAGCAGCCCCCCGTCCCGGCTGGACAAGCGGAGGGTCGTCCCCATCAAAGTCTCCGAGGTCTCCAAGAGCTACCGAAGGATTTGCCACCGCGATTTTCACGACGTCGTCGACACGCACCACACACCCCAGGAGCGCCGCGAGTATGAGGGGACAGATTTCTACCGCTTCGCGGTCCGTGCTAACGACACGATCGATGCCATGAAAGACGAGGAATTCTTACTATCCATGAACCTGATTTCTTGCGGAGCCGTCGTCGAGCAGTTTGTTGATAACCTCGGTCGCACGATGCAGTGGGAACAAAAGATTTTTGAACCAACGGCTCCGAAAGGCAGTCGGGGGCCGAAGGAGAGGCGGCAGTTCCTTATCTTTGTCTTTGCGCAGTACCTGCTGGGAGCCCTTGACTTTGCCAAAGACCCCTACAACTTTGAATTTCTTGATGTGCCCCTGGGAAAGGCGTCCTCCTCGTTCCAGACGAAATTTTTTACAGGGCTCAACCCCCAGAACCTGATTTGGTTCGATGGCAGGAATAAGAGCAAGAATAGGAAGACCACCACCCACTTTTCCACAATTTGAAATCAAGCTGCTCCGAGCTCCGCGTGGCCATTACGACGTACGGAAAATGCGATGCAATTTCGAACTTCTACAACTTACAATGGCAATGCCGTTGAGCATATTGTTGCTTGCTGAGACACTTGCAGACCCCCACCGTGTCTTTTCGATATCTTCGCATTTCTGTTGCCACTATTCCTACTAGCACAATAGCATTACCCACAACTCAGGCTGCAGTTGCAAGTGCATCTAGCTTGACTATACAACCCGTAAATCCGGCAGAATACCTCGTCGAAAGCAATACAAGGTACAAGAAATTTAAAGCAAGAACCCGTGATCCGATTGGTGACGATGATGACGAAAAAATGCATAGTTTGCAACTAATTCATGCGGACTTGTTTCCCGATACGATGGAATATCTTAAAGCCATGGACGGCAAACCATACGCAATTCGAAGTACCAATGGCCCTAATGTGTTGTACGATCTCCTTTCTGACACTGATAAAGGAAAAAGCGTGGAAGAAATCGCAAGGACCTATGCCGGTTTGGAGTGCGCCGTCGCACTAGACCCAATTATCCTTTCTCCGGAAGAGATTTCTGAAGCAAACAAAAGTCAGTTCGACCTGCACATTCCCGAACTCTGCGAGGACAAATCCCATATATGCCTGAAATTGGACACTTCCGACACGTCGATGGGCGGAAGCAAATTCGATCTTGAATTCTACTTGAATGGTGGAACCAGCGGCTCCGTCGCACCGACGACCAACTTGGAAACCGGCGGATCGTCGGATCCACGCCTCTTAAAGGCTATGGCCTCGGCAACGGGTTGCATTCAAGAAGGAATAAAAGAGAACGTCAAGTTCGACCTCGAAGGTCATCACGGGCTCGTTAACTACGATGCTACGCCCGGGGATCAATCTCCAGCACAGCAAACCTATCAAGTTGTGCTGTCACTCAGAGCAAACGTGGGCTTCTTAGGTCACGGTACCACGCTGGCAGAGACAGATGGAAGCCGTCAATGTGAACGGCGAAGAATACGTCCCGAGGTACGATGGAAAGGTCGAGAGAAAGATGGATTTCTGGCTCGTCTCCGGTGTCGTCGGCATAAGAGTCGATTACGGAACCGAAAGCTACAAACCCTACAGCCAGCCAAACAGATGGGGAACAAAATTCTACGGCCGGTTCAACTCCGACGTCGAGCTGTTCATCCGGTCGAGCAGTTCGAGTTTTGCCCACGTGTTCTCTTGCGAACCCCCGCCCCACCGGCTCCGATCTGCGCGGGGGACAGCAACGAAGTTCCCCACGACGGGCACCAGGGATCCTCGTCGGACGGCGACAACACCTTCCTAGTGAACGAAAAAACGGACGGTGGAAGTTGTTCGACCGGGCCGACGGGAACCCCGTCGTCCACGGGCCGCCCGGTCACGCGTGGCCATCGGCTGCCTCTGGAAAAAAGCCGAGACCACCCGGTTGGAAGGAAACGAACGAAACGAAACGAAACGAAACGAAACGAAACGAAACGAAACGAAACGGCGACTTTTGTCGTGCACGGGCGGTCGAAACGGCCACGAATCGATTCTGCAAGACGACGGAAACCTGGTCATCGACGACACACACACGGACAATCATCCATTTGGGACACCCAGGCCAATCCGAGCAAGCAGTGACACCGGAGCTTTGGCGGTTGTGTATGCCCGTTCGACCTTGGTGTACGGGAGAATTGCCCTCGTTCTAGCATGCTTCCCAGGCTAGACACCAAGCCCGGTCGACTTGCAGTTCAATGAAAACGTAAGTACAAATAACGACAATCTTAGTTTCGTGCTGTGTCCATGGTGCTCCGCAAGGCATCGGCGGTATCCTAAGCAGCTAGAAGTATCTCGGTAGCACAACATCGCATGGCAAAGCATATCATATCATATCATTTCATATCATTTCATGGTCCGTGGCGGTTCTAGCCCCCGTGGGAACGGATCGTGTCCTACACTCCGAGATCGCAAGCCGGGTTTCGTTTCGAAACGGATGGTTTTGTGGGTCCCCGTATTCCCTCCCTTCCCACAACCCCGGATGCCCGAGCGAATGCGAAGCACGGATCCCCTGCGGCGCGCATGCTTGTGGTGTCGTATTGTATTGTATTGTATTGTAATGGTGCTGGTGTCGTGTCGTGTCGTGTCGTGTCGTGTCGTGTCGTGTCGTGTCGTGTCGTGTCGTGTTGTTCCCGCTGCGGCGCGTGCGCTTCGCGTCCCCGGCGGATTGGTTTGGTTGGGTTGGGTTGGATTGGATTGGATTGGATTGGCCGGATGGCGCCGCTTCCCCGGCTTGGTTCGCTCCGCGCCGTGTGTCGCCGGTTTTCCACGCCGGCACCCAAACATCGGCACGGCAAACCTTCGTCGCCGCGGTCCGGTTCACCCGCTGGGTTCGGTGGCAGCGGACGCGGCGGCGGCGGCGGCGACGCACTCCAGGTAGTCTCCGAGTTCCCTTCCGCAGTGCCTGCGGCCACGAAAGCTCCCGGTCCCCATGACGGAGGAGTGGCAGGCGTCGTAGGCGCTTTCGGCGGCCCTGCAGGACCCCTGGCCGCTGCTTTTGGATCGGGCGTGGAACCTGTTCCTGCACCGCAAGAGGTCGAGGAGCTGGTTGTTGGCCCTCGAACCGATCGCCTCCAGATCGACGGCCTTTTTTTTGTTGCGCCTTGCCAGGGGGGCGAGGTATTTTTGGCACGGAAGCGGCTCGCGTTCTTCGTCCCGCTCCCCCGCGGGTCCGAAGGCTTTGTGGAGGGCGGAGCCTTTTACGACCGCCATTCTTGCGGATTGTTGTCGGGAAACGAAACGCAGTGGAACGCAAGGCAAGGCAAGGCAACGCAACGCCACCCTATCGAGTTGTTGTCTTGTCGAGCGGTCAAAAGAAGCAATGGCAAAGGAATCGCAACAGACAACAGAATATCACAACGGAAAAGAGTGATGGCTTTGGTTTTGATTGATTGACCTTCAGCGAAGCCATATGTGTTGTACCTTGTGCACTGCAGGGGTCATGGTGAACTGTGTCATACGGTGCGTTACACCGAAGACGAGGTTGGGGATTTTGGATTTTCAGAATGATTTCGATCCGAGAGATTTTTGGAGCCGTACTAGTAGCAGTACTATTAGGAGTAGCAGTACTGGTGGTACTAGGAGTAGTAGCAGTAGATACTCATCTGCTGGTGTGGTACTACTGCTGTTGCTACTAGTAGTAATGATGGAAGTGCCATTCATGATTATCTCCAACAAGAAGAAGTTTAACTTTTGGCATGCCTTTGAAGAAGATTAGGCACCAGGAGCTTGTTGTTGTTGTTGTTACTCCTGACGAATAACCAAGAACTACTACTACTACTACTACTACTTCTTGTAGTAGTATAATAATACTAGTACCAGCAGTACTACTAGTACTACTAGTAGTACTACTAGTAATGGTACGTCACAACCACATCATACTACTACTAGGAGTACTAGTTCATCACCACCACATAAAACACTTTCATAGCTGAGATATTTTTGTAAGTTTTCCCATCCCACATGAACAAATTTTGACCCCAAAAATGAACACGACTTGTTTGCTGCCCTCTAGTATTCCTTACCAGAACTGCACCATGATTATCAACCCTTCTTGTTTCATTCTCAAAGTTATATTTTATGTTCCATTGAAAATTTTCACCTCGTCCATTTGGCATTTTTTCTAAATGTCTCTTCAATAATTGTACCCAAGAACAAGCTACGTAAAGGTATTTTTTTTATCTCATTAATTAGTAAATATCACACAATTTCATGGGAGCATTTTTCCATTGTCTTTCTAGTAGTAACCACTGTACAACAATTCATACTGGTGGTCCTTACCTCTACTATGAGCATCACTGGTTATTTATGTTTGCCTCCTTTTGTCTTTTGCACCACAAAAAGAAACCAGCACCTGCCTTGCCCTCCTGTTTGCCACCCCAACAAATGTCACTTCCAACATGCAAATTTTTTCCTGTGTTTATAAAGTTTGATCTTTGACAGGCCCCTGTGATACAGGTAGTGTTGTAAGTTTTTGTAGCTCTGTTCTGAAATACTCAAATGCTGCATGCAATTTCATGGCACACCAGAGAGAGAAATAAACAAATCCTTCCACCAATACCATGTCCTGTTCACATTGAGTATCTAGTACTAGATGCTGCTAGTAGTAGTGCACCCTATTCACAGTTCAAAACAGTACTGGCTGGTACATATGCAGGCACACAAATATTCCAGTACTTCTTCATCTCTCCATTGCTAAAAAATATGTAATTCCTTTCAGGTTTTTTTCTATTTTTGAATTCCAAGGTTGGTCAGTAAACACAGAAATGGTTGTGCCTATTTGTGGGTGCCAACCCTCAGAATGTCTAGTAGTACTAACACTAGCATTATTCTCCCTAACAGTCAAGAGAAGCCATGATTTGGTCATCCTCCTGGCGGTATTTCTTTTACTAGTAGTTCCACAAGGATTAATGTCATGTCTAATTTTATTCAAAAAGAAAAGTCTCTCCTTTGTCTGCTGGTGGCTTTGCTATTCAAAAAAATATTTTAGCTTCAAAAATGTAAAAATTAGCATCAAGAAGTTGTTGTCTAACCCTTACTACACACAAATCAACTTATCAGTTTTCTATCAGGCTCAGTATGTTGAATAGCATACTAGTACTTGCTAGTAAATTTGTGCAATAAGAAGTAAAAACTTCTTGCTTGTTCTTGATGTACATATCAATCAGAGCTACTACTAGCTACTAGTAAATGGATCTGTAAAAAATCCATTGGGTGATTAAAAATGGCATATATAAAACCTTGCAAAAAACTGATCTACTACTAGCAAAAGTTCATGGTACCACAATAAACTAGCAAAAGTTCATGGTACCAAAATAGGGAAAATATAAAAGTATTGGTTTTGATAAGAAAAAAGTTCTGGTTCAACATCATCTGGGTAGAAAGGGTTTACTAGTGGTGCTGTGGTGCAGTAGTAAAATTACAATGGAAAAATGAACTGGTGCTGAACTTTAGTACTGGAAATGACAATGGAGCATGATGAATTTGGGTGTGTTGCAGACACATCATCTAAATTACAACAACTCCTAGTGACTAGTACTGCTTGGGAAAATCAAAGAAGGAGGAGAGATGCAATGTAACCTGTTACTACACCTAACATTTCAATATGATTTAAAATAATACTAGCTAGTCATTAGCAATAGTAGCCCAATTTTTCCATGATGAAAATAAAATAATGTTCACAAGGCCAATTTTGAATCCAGCCATTTAGTCATCCTTGCATTATTTAAAAAAATAGCTCTGATGTACTAGTAGTAGAATACAATATGATGTTTACAAGAAAACATCTCTTTAATTTGAACTTATTAAATTTGAGTTGAAGTTAAAAGCTTCAAATTAAACTGACCCAAGAATTCTTTAGGTAAGAGGAAAGAAGGAAGATAACAAAAAGATGAGCAAGTGAAATGGATATGTGCAAATTCCTCAGCAACAAGAAGGAGTGTGCACCTAGGCCATAAAAATGGGGATGCAGTGGTATTTAGAAGCAGTATTTAGGAATCACCCTTCTTGCAACTCCAACAAATTATTTCAGTTGTTAAAAATTGCAAAAATATCACTCATAGTAGCAACATAAACAAGTATTGAATCTGCCACCATTTACTAGATACCAGGTGCAAGATCCACCATGCCCCTCTTGGTTGAACCAGGGAAGCATTGCTGACTCTTGGGATACCTCTTTGTATAGGCCAATGCCTCTTGTTGTTATATCCCAAAGTTTAAAGAGGAATACTCAAGTAGTCCTCAAAATAGACCTCATCCAACACTAGAGACACCCTGATAGATGACCCTGGAGAATGACCCTTGAGACGATATATTTTATATTGTTGGCTTTTACTAAAAAGCTGATTAAATTGTTGATTTTCAATGCTGTACACAGGCACACATACATTGATCAATATCATTGGGAACCCTCCCACTCCCCCATACAACACCTACTAGAATTCTGTTTGAATTTTCTTCAATTCATGTGTCTGTCACTCTTTTCTAGTAGCTGTTGGGGACTGCAGGGACCAAGATACAGTTCACACTGTCAGTTGACAATTAAAACAGTTATAAGGTAGAAAAACACAGTGTGTGGGTTTTGGGCCATCTTTTTACCTTGTAATGACTCTTGGGATTAAAAATTTGGATTTGCAATAGCTCATGCATCATGTTTAAGTAGAAAGGATAGGAAGGAACTCAAGTGTGCAAAACTTACACATGGGAATAAAATTTGAGCATGTGCCCCGTTGTAAACTGTAGAACAAATCAGTTTTTCAGTCAAAGTGTCTGTATTGTCAATTTTGGATCCAACTCTACACAATAAAGTTGGTTCTGCTGCTTGTGGGGATGACTGGTGTAACCATTTTTTTCAGCAGAAAATCTTAGTTATTTCTGTCTTTGTTGTATTCAGTGCATCTGTTGTATTCCAAGAAGAATGCAGCTGCTGTTCCTCCAGATATCTTGTTTATGAAATCAATTCACCTTGACACCACTGACAACAACAAGACCAGTCTTCTTTGCAGTACCAATTTGTTACTATGAGATGGTATTCTTTTAGGAATTCAACTGTTTTTGCTACTGTGCATTGGCCAATGCTACTAACAAAGATTCCTCTACTATAATCTCCACTTCTGCAACAGTAATACTGCAAGAAGTACTATAAATTAGTTTGTTCTTCATTTGGTTTTGCTCAGTAAAATAATTCAACATTGTAATTGTAACAACTTGGTGGTCAAAATCACTACACTATTACTAGTGACAAGAATCATTTGGCTGGTGTCTAGAAGCCCTTTCAGCTACTAGTAGACCAGTCTTCTGTTTGGGTTGTAAATATGAAAAAGTTAACTTGTTTACATTCAAAAAAATTTCAGATGTAGTACCACAAAAAATCATGTAGTTATTGATGTCTACTAGTAGTACAGGAGTGACCAAATTGCACCTACTAATTTCTATCAATACACAACAAGTTGGGCATTTCTTCTTAGCTAAGCCAAGACAAAGTGGGGGTGAAAGAGGAAGAGAAAGCGATTTTTAATACAAACTGGTGTTCTTTGTTTACAATTATTAGTTAGATTGATTTTGCCTTTCCTTGGAATTCATATTGCAACAAAGACATTACTAAAATATTTTAGAATCATCATCAGGGAACAAGAAATAGGTGGAGGAGTATGTAATGCAACACAAAGGAGAAAATTGCTGGTAGAGGGCTCAAACATTATTGGAAATGGTTGGTGAAATGGAATAGTTCTGATGTCTAAAGCAATATATTACATTCAAACACAAGGTATTTCTTATTGGTGGGATTACACAATGCTGCAATATCAAGAAGAAAAAACTGAATGCATATTTGAGTCCAAAATTTCAAACCACTTGCACCACTAGTAATGTTGGAGCAAAAAGTGTTCAAAACCATTAAAAAACAAAAATGGGACCATAAAATCCAAACCTCCCTTATTGTTACTAGTACTGCTAGCATACTAAGCAAATCTCTGCTTGCAACAATGGAGGTGAATTTGTTGTGGGCCAGACAAGAAGCAACAGGGGTCATGAATCAAATCAGAATGAATAATCAGCATGAATGGAAATCTCACTGGTAGGGACAAAGTGCTGGCAAAACTATTATTGATTTAGAACACAAAAACATCTGTGCTTGCCATAATTTTCCTGTACACTCCAAGAATCACCTTGTGTTTTTTTGTTAACAGAAATTTTGCTCTTGAATTCTTTTGTTGCTGTGATACAATAACACATGCTCTTGCCAGAACACTTTTACCATTGCTCTGAGAGGGGACACTCACTAGAGGTCGTGGCTGTTTCCAACAAGTTCCCTGATGATTCTACTGGTAATAGTACTAATAAATGAAGAAATTTGCATGTGCATGTTTCAGAGAAAATGGAAGGAACTGGTTCATAGTTTTGAAGGACAAGAGCCATACCATTTAGGGTTGTTGGGGTCAAAGGAAAAAAAAGGAAATTAAAAATGAAAAGGCAGCAATAGGAGGGACTCACCTTTAGTAGCTAAATCAATTCTAGCAGCATCACTTGCTTGCATGGTTGTTTTGTAGTGAAAGTGTCAATAAGGCAGGAGCTGATGGCATCACTTTAGTAACAGGAGCACCAACTGTTTGAGACTCTCTTTCTTGAAGAAAGCATCCTGCTGGACAAGCACATCCTTCAGAGCGTGATGCAATCAGGTTACTAGTACTGTCCAGATGAGGCCCAGTAACATGGGCATTGGTGCCAAAGAAGGAGGCTGGTGGAAATACAGCTTGGAATAGAGCAGGGTGCTTTTGTCTGACACAGTAACAACTGCTGGTGTTGGAGACAACAGCAGTCCTACAGAAGATCCAAGAGAGATTATGCTTGCAGCAGCTTCTGCAAGCAAAGTGGGCAGCTATTGGGGGGGGGGAACAACAGGATACTCCTAGGAATCCAGCCAGCAGACCAAACTTGGGAAAAGTGGTGTGTTGTGATGGCACTGAAAGTGGTAGTAGTAGCAATGTAAGGAAAATGAGGAGTTGGAGCACTACTACTAGTAGTACTACTACTACTAATACCAGCAGGGAGACTACAAAGAGAGTCTACAAGAGAAGTGTTGTGCTTGATGTCACCAGTACCAGCACTACTAATGATGGTGTTGGTGGTTAAAGTAGTACCACCAGCTACAGTTAATAGTAGGATCACTTGCCAGGAATGCTAGGAGCAAGAAGCATGCACAAGCAATAACAACAGCAAGAAGACAACCATCTAACTGCAAGAAGCAGCAGCAACAAGAAGTACTAGTAGTAGCAGAATGAAGCAAGAAACAACAGCAAGAACATCAACACCAGAATGCTGCTGAAACACCACAACTAGCAACCACAACTGAAATGGAAGTGCTGGTGATTGGTGTTCTAAGGAGGAACAACAATGTAATTAGTATCCAGGACATGTGGTGGTGATCAGCAGCCTCAAATTTTCAAGAAGGCATTACTACCATTGCTGTTGGCACCACCAGCACCAACTTGTAGGACTACTAGTAGCTACTACTAGTAGTAGCACCACCACTCCAGCAACCACCATCTTTCTTACTAGTACTGCTAACCTCCCTCCATTATTGCTACCATTTTGTGTGAAGCGCTACCAGTTCTACTAATAGTAGTTGTACTACTGCCAGTACTACTAGTAAAAACCAAGCAATGAAGACGAGGACAATGGCACCAGAAAAGAAGAAGTTGTGGCAACATGAAAAAAATCACCAGAAAACAACAGGAAAGAACAACAACAAAGGAGAAATCATATGAATGATGATGGCTTTGGATGTTTCTTCTTCTTCTTCTTCTTCCCTTGTTGCTACTACTAGGGACAACAACAACAACAAAGAAAACATACATGATATATAAAAGTGTCATATTGAGCACCATATCAGTTGGAGGTTGGGAAGAGGCCAAAGCCCAAAAAACACAATGGCATGTGCATGGGTTCTGCAGACACTGCTTTTACTGCTTTAAGTAAGGGATGAATGCTGTTGGAATTGCCACACAATTCAATAGTACAATACTTCTAATATTTTTGAAGGTCAGTGTGTGGTAATTTGTATGTATTATATGAACTTGAAAATTTGCATCGAAGGTAGCAGAAGTTAAGAGCTCCTGTGGTCTAGGGGTGATGACGTCTCCTTTACACGGAGAAGATCGGTGGTTCGATTCCACCCAGGAGTAAATTTTTGTTTTAGGAATTTCGTAACGCAGGTCACCACAACTCTTCCTCGTTGGTCGTGCCGAGTGATCGTTTGCTCCCGTGCAGCAGTCGCACTAGTACTTAGCGTACGTACGTTGTGTACGAGTACTCACCCCCCGCTCTTTTGGGCTCTGGGCTCGTTTTTCGTTTTCTTTCTCGGATTCGAAGGAAGGAATCTATCCGGGCCGGCAACAAACGCCGTGCGATGCTTCTCTTTTTCCCCGAGCTTCGTTCCGCTGCCCGCCCGGCCGCCGCCGACACAGGCGTGCGAACCGTACGTGCATTGCGCTCCGTACGGTACCATACCCACGGCCCGCGTCGTTCGGGCCGGTGTGTTCCGTTTTCCTTCTCGGCGTCGACGGAAGGAATCCATTGTGTCCACCCGTTGAGGGACGAAACGCCAGCAACGAACGAACGAACGAACGCCGTGCGATGGTTCTCCTTTTCTCCGTTCCGTTCCGTTTCGTTTCGTTCCGTTGCCCGGCCACCGACCACACCGCGGCGGCGAAGCGCACCCCGCAACGAAGGCCTCGCCAACAGGGATCGCCGTGTGCGACGATCAACAGCACGGTGCGTTCCTACAGCCACCAGCGCCGTCGCTGGGCAGCTCCACACAAGGCTTTCCCGCCTCGTGCCGTCCCGCGCTGCGGTTTCCGGTCGTTCCGTCACCCCCTAGGGCTCCGAGCACGAGCGCAGGGCATCGCATCGCATCAAAGTCGCTCCCCGGGTGTGTGGATTCCATCCGTGCCTATCGTTTTGGCGCCGGAGGGATCCGGGTCCGGACCGAGTGCCGGTGCCGTGCACAAGCGCTCGAGCACCGGATTCCGCATGGCATGGCATGGCATGGCATGGCATGGCATCGTGCGAAACGGAAGGGAAGGCAACGGACGCGACGCGACGCGATGCGATGCGATGCGATGCATGCCATTTGCGAGGAGGTGGCACAACGTACTTAAGGTACGTACCGTGTTGCCGGGATCATGAGCTTTCAGGTCATGCCTAAGGGTCACATGCAGAGATTGATAATTCGACGAAAATAAGACAAGAGTAGTTGGAATCTCGCGATAGCTCAGTTGGTAGAGCGGTGGACTGTAGAATGATATAGTAAATCCATCGGTCACTGGTTCGATTCCGGTTCGCGAGATCTTTTTGCGTATCTTTTGTCTTTTGCTCCGCGCGGGGTATCTATCCAGGATCTACCGGTGTGCCCGCGTCGTCCAATGCCTCATACTACGTACAGCACCAGTACGTACTGTACTAGGAGTCAGGGGTCATAACCCCTGCTACGAGTAACAGGATAGTTGACTCTGGCACGCGCAGCGTTTTTTTACACACGACACCCATTTTCGAAAGGTCGAAGTTGCGAGAGCCGCAACGAAACCCGCCGTGTCATTGGAACGCCCACTCCACCCAACCCCTCACCAAAACCGCAGCAACCGCAAGTGCAACTTCCGGAACGCAACCCGCCCTACAATACCACCAGAGGCCCTCCGAACCCCCCCTGGGGCCCGCCGCGAGAAACCCCGACGGATCGAAGAACAGAACGCTCCCGACGTTCCCGCCGATGGAAACACACGCACGTTTCTGTTCCACACCGGAGGGCAATGTCGTCGTCGTCGTCGTTGCGAGAGAGGAAGCGACCGGTTCGCCGCCTCCACATCATCGTCGGGAGCAGCCAGGCCGGTCTGCCAACCCGGAGCATCCGGCACCACTTCGGGGACCCCTCCGTGACGGTGGAAGACTGGCTGCGAAGGTTTGCCAGGCTCCACCGCCACGTCTTTGAAGAGTGCTTCCACGGCGGGGCCTTCCAGCCCCTCGAGGTCGTCCCCGTGCGCATCTTTGTGGCCGGCCGGGGTTTCTTTGCCGGGGAGCGCCCGAAACCGGTGCCACCGCTCCTGCCCTTCCACCCGGACGCTAGGCTCTGGGACTGCATCGCCGGCGTTGGGTATTTCCGCCGCTACGCCGGGTACATCTATCTTCGGATCCTCGCCAGGCGGCCCCGGGTCGATAGGGGCGTTCGAGGCACCGCTGTTGCGGTCGCCCAGCCTCCCGCGGCTGCCGCCACAAACCGCAGGGGCAAGAGCAGCAGCAGCAGCAGCATTAGCAACAACAACAACAACAACCACTACTACCACTACCCACCCTTTCGATCGTTTTGCATTCCCCCCTCCCACAAGGACGACAACAACACACGGCTGCGAAAAGAGACGCTCCGGTTTGCCCGCAAAATCCTCGAGGACTATCCCAAGTTTGTCACCCCCATCGTTCCGTTTCAGAACCCGGCGAGGCATTGCCACCAGAGCCCACAGGCCATGCGGATCTTTTTCGGAAAAGAATATCCAAAACATTGCAGGAACCAAAGCAAACACAAACACAAACACGCGAGGGGTCCGCCGAAAAAAGAGGTTTTGCGAAGCATCTACGGTCCGCTCTCGGTTCTCAGGACCACCGGCTTCCACCCAATGAGGGATTTCAAGGTCCGTCCGTTTACGCCCGAAATCGCGGCGATTTGCAGGTTGCTGGAACAGGAATTGTCCCGGCACCCGCGTTTTTCGAAGCAAGAAGAGGCCCGGGAATTCGATTTCAACTTTTTGGAGATCAAGTTGTACAAGGGCAGGGACATCTTTACCGACCCGCTCACGAAGAGGCCCTTCCGGGACGACCACAACCAGCCCATCCGGGTCGACTGCAACAAATCGGTGGGCCTCCACAACGACTGCTCCTTCGACGACGATGGAAACCAGGACCCGAGGGACACGGCCCGGGGGGACCACCCGATCGCAACGATCACCATCGGGAGCCCGCGGGAGCTCACCTTTGTGCAGATGGAGAAGAGAAAGTCCCCCGCGCGGAACGGAAGCACCGCCCGGGGCCGGTGGACCGTCTGCCACCCGGCCCGGCGAAGGTTCTGGCTGGACCACGGGAGCGTCTTTTGCCTCATGCCGGGCGACGAGGTCCCGACGCTTTCCCGGGCAAAGGTCCCCTGCGGCGACCGCGGCCGCACCCTCTACAAGACCATGCACAAGGCCGAGTTCAAGGCGGACGGGGTGTCGATCGGCCTCGTCTTTCGGTCGGTGCGGACCTCCTCCTGCTTTTGCCAGCGCTCCCACCGGTGGCTGTGGCGCAGGGACCCGAGGTACCGGACGAAGGTGGAGGAGCACCTCGCGAGCAAGAAGGGCGTGTACGAAACCTACGCCCGCCAGCAGGCGCAACCGCCGGCGCCGTCGGCTCTCGCACCCGGCGGTCGCCAGGCGCCCCCCAGGCGCGAAGTGGATCTGATCCACGGGAACATCGATCGGTATCTGCAAACGCTGTCGTGAGGCGGTGGTCGAACGAGTACCGTACCGCAACGCAACGCAACGGTTCGGAACAAAGGGTCTGTCTGTGTTGTGCCCGAAGGCTCGCCAGAGCCGAACGACTGTTGCTACCGCGGCTCGGCCGCGTGTGCGATTCCGAGGACTACAGAGCGTGTGCCATAAACCCCGGGTCGGTGTGGAAGAAAAAATACTAGTATATTAGTATCCTCCCGGGTTTGGAACGGATTCGATTCGATTTTTGGTTGTTCGAAGCACGGTACCATACGTACTTGTACGTGTAGCAGTAGCTGTACTATTAAGCTGTTCTCTGTACGGTAATACGTACGTACGGTACGTACGCACTTCATTGTTTTTTTCGTATCCCCCAGATGGTACGTAGAATACGTACACTATGTACTATGCTAGAGGGACGGTCGGCTAGGCTTGCCTCAATCCGCGTCCGCTTTCGTGCAGAATTAACCCTATCGTACCGTACGTACGTACTGTACGGTATTATCGTTCGGGAATTGGCATGTTTCTTTATTGCAGCACGACTTCGTACGATTACGAGAACGTACCGTACTACTGGTACTTTCTCCTTTATTAGTAATGTACTTCTAATTAATTAATACTTCTATTTGTATCTACTATTAGTAGTATTTGGGTACGAACCTTACGTACACACATCTGCTTCATATCATCATAGTGCGCGGTTGTACGGGGGTTGTGACGGTCTGGAGTGCAGTTACATGTGTGTTAAGGCAAACATTTACGTATGAACATATTCCTAAACGTAGGATAGATTGATACATAACGGATTCTCACCTCTCTGAGGCTATTGTAGTCGTTTCCCATTTGGTTCGTGTGGCTTCCGTTCTCCCAGTTGAATAGAAAAACGCTTCCCTGCTTGGAGAGGTCGGATACCCGTGCCTTTTCAAATTTCCGAACTCGAGCGAGGGGGGGGACACAAAAAAGATTGGTACAAAAACTGAATGAAGTACGAGCATTGTACCGTACTGCAACTACGTACGTTACGAACGAGGAACACAACGAGCCCTTTCACTACGGCGTACTGCGAGTGCTTTTTGATACGAAGTGTGTACCCAGTACGGTACGACTCGGAAGTTGTTTATGAAACGATCAAGAGACACAGCAACTATTCCACCACGCAATCGATCGAGTAGACACGAAACCTTAACGGCTACTACTATCCTCTTTCCACCATTGCGCCATCTTCTCGAGAAACAAGAGTCCGGAACAATCACAGAACAATACTAGTGGCACGGTATTGAGTAGGACGTTCCGGGGAACCAAATACTGTATTTCGATTCCCAATAATTTTCCGTTGGTTAAAATAATACTTCAACGAATGATATGAAGCCTCGGAATAACAGGACCGCGTTGTTCGTCGTCACCCAGGCACTGCTGTATTTCCACATGGCGGCGGCCGTGGCTGTGGCAACCGACGCAAAGAGGGGAAACCTGAGGCAAACATCAATGTCATCATCATCATCATCAACAACAACAACAACAACAACAACAGAAACAACAAGAACACAAAGCTCCGCACGCGACAACAACCATGCAACAGAAGGGAATCCCGATTCCCATGCGTCTCGGAGGAACGGMAACGGCAACAGGAACAGCATCCAGAGCAGCAGGAAGCGGCTGCTCGACGAGGAACTGTGGTTCGGGTACAACATTCTCGACGGCAAACAACCCAGAAACAGCCACGGTGTCGGTGAGATTTCCGATGCCCTTGCAACGGAGAGCCCGGAGCAGGCTCCGAATCCCACGCCGGTGCCGACCACGGAACACATTTCCAAGCATTCCTCGGCCTCGATCTACCGGAACATTGAGCTGATCGAGGCGACATATGCTGCTCTGGATCACAACGAAACCGAACTGGAAAGCATTCTGGACGAAGCCGCGGGCGAAACCACCAACGAAACAGAGATAGCAGACCATCCCATCTGGGAAGACAACGCAATATACTATCCATACGAAGAGACAGAAGTGTTTGAAGTCGACACCACCAATCAATACAACAACAACGGTACGGTTGCTATCGTCGAAGACGGCCTCTACAACGACACCGATCCAATCGAAGACGGCCTCTACAACGACACCGATCCAATCGGAGACGGCCTCTACAACGACACCGATCCAACAGAATCCAGTCCGGGAGACAGCAACGAAGACGAAGACGAGGTCACCCAGGTCACCCAGGTTGCCAGGATTTCAGGAGAGAACCCCTTCTTGATCGACGAAGCCGGTCAAGGTGGAGACGCATCCCCTCCGACGATGCTTATACCCACTACGGCCCCCACGGCGTTCTTTGTCTTCCGAACCGACGAACCCTCCGCGGAGCCACTGGGGCCCCTTACCCCCCAAAATGCCGACGACGACGACCTGACGTTTCTATGGACCCCCAACTCGGACCCCGACATTGGCGGGAAACTCGACGACGCGGTTCCGTTCGGCAGCGGCATCCCGACGAGCAGCATGGCTCCCTCAAACTCGACCATGCCGTCTCTGCAACCGACGATGAGCCCAACCGTGCTTGAGGAAACGACGATGCTACCAACGGAGGTTCAGGATCCAACGAGTTTCCCAACGAGGTGGTTTGTGAAGCCGACACCAACTGATCCACCCACGGGGGGTCCGACCCCGGGTCCAACTCCGGGTCCAACCCCGCAACCAACCCGGAAGCCAACTCGAAAGCCAACGGCCAATCCCACGCGAGCTCCAACGGAAGAGCCAACAGAGAATCCAACAGGAGCGCCTACGGACGAGCCCACAGCTTCTCCGACCTTTATACCAACGGAATTTCCCACGGGAGAGCCCACGGCAGCACCGACACGAAATCCGACCAGCAAGCCAACCCTCCGACCAACGCGTACACCGACCATTGCACCGTCCCACGATCCCACCCCGAGCGGAACACTGGAACCAAGTCTGTCGGTTCAGCCTACGATTGCTCCGACCGTATCGTACCAACCGACGGATTCCCCTACCCGCATGCCTTCGAAACGGCCTACCAACCGGCCAACCCTTCCCGCGTACGAGGGCAAGGTCGAGGCTACCATGGTCTTGTCGCCCCTCGACGGCTCGCTGGATACGCGCGAAACCATTTCCTGGGAGGACGTCACCTCCAGGTTTGTAACGGCATCCCTTATCTCCGAAGCAGACCCTCCCATGACCAACCTGTTTGTCACCACCAGGAGCGTTGACCAGTATTCCGTGGCAAAGGATGCAACCGGGACGGCCCAGCGGTTGCTGCAGGACGAGGGCATCGAAGCATCGGTGGTATCGTACGTGATCGAATTCACTCTGACGATCAAGTATCAGTCGGTGGCAGAAGACTACGACCTCGATGCCCTGGTGGCGTCTGCCTTTGACACACCAGAGAAAAATGCCCTGTACATCAAGCAGCTCCAGCGAAAGTCAGAGTCGGACGCCTTTGACACGGTCCAAGAAACAGAGGTCAATGTGGACGGTGGCGGTCCCATCAATCCGGCCGCTCCGCCCAATCCGGCACCCTCAAACCCGTTCCCCAACCCGTTCGATCGCCCCACGGCATCCCCGACGCAGACGCAGCCCAAGAAAGTGGACACGGCGGTGGTGGCGGGAGCCACGGTCGGAAGCATCGCGTTCTGTGTCCTGGTCGCCCTCCTCTTGCTCCGCCGGAAGGGCGATAGCGGCGGCGGGGATAGCCAGCCGCCCAAGTCGTCGCAGGCGACCCCGTCAACGGGCAAGGTCACCAAGGTCTCGACGGAAATCCTGGTGGAGCCCCAGGACGACGTGAGTACCCTCGGCGATCCGGTCTTTGGCTTTGGCCAGGGAGGAATGATGAACATGGGGGGCATCGAGCGGGACGAAATGACCGCGACGTGAGTGTTCTTGCGTGTTGTCTTTGTGTTGGTKCTGTGCCGCGTCTTGTCTGGCTTTGTGATGTGTTTTAGTTTGGCCTGTTGGCTTGCTGGCTTGTTTCCTCGCGGAGTGATTTGTTAGTTTATGCTGCCGCGCTATAGTATATTGCAGTGTTTGTGCTTCGTGTACCATGCTGCAACGATCTGATTTCACACTCACGATCCACTTGCTTGCTTACTCTTGTTGGATTGTTGGTTGCAGTGTTGGAGACGATTACGACTATACCAAGCACTATCGAAATCCACGAGGTCCACTCTCGCTCTCCGGCACAACAAATACGCGAGATCGCATCACGTCGGAAGACATGTCGTCGAGGATGTCATCCGCTCCGTCCGTATCCATGAGCAAACTCGGAAAGATGGGCGAAAACCTCTTTGCGGACGACGCTTCCTTTGAGGAACAATTCTTAGACCCCGAGGAACGCCTCGACGTCGTGGCTCCCGCCGGCAAGCTCGGCATGGTGATCGACACCCCTAACGGGGGCATCCCCGTAGTCCACGCGATCAAGGAAACGAGCGTCCTTGTGGACCAGGTCTGCGTCGGCGACCGGCTGCTCAGCGTCGACGGCGAGGACTGCACCGGCATGACGGCCATGCAGGTGTCCAAGCTCATCAGCCTGAAATCGGAAAAGCCGGCCCGGGTGCTGGTCTTTGCAAGGTCGTCCTCCACGTCGAACCCCACGAGCAACCGAGTGAACAAATAACCACCAACTACTACTAATAACGAACCGTGCCGATCGTCGCACGAATCGAATACTATAGAATGTCTGTACTACAAGCCAACCCTTTCGTCCTAGTTTGACCGTCGGGGCACGCACACACGACGCGACGTGGACGCCTAGAACACAAGGTTTTGTTTCGATGTGATGTGCACGTGCGGAGTACTGTATAGAATAGACAGCACACAAACGAAGCGAAACGCACGAACGATCCACGAATACTATCATCTATTGCTGTTGTTGTAGATTTCTAAAAAATGTTTCCGAGCTGCCCGTCCGTCCGTGTTTGTGCGTGTTACCTATCCTGCGATTGCCGCTTGCGCTCGCAGCGGGTGGATCGATGCGATGGATGGTTCGGAACCGCACCGTGGTGTTCCTCGTGTCTGGTTTGTCCCAGAGCAAGAAAAAGTCGTGTTTGGCTGGCTCGCCGGTGGTTCCCTTCCTTCGCTTCGCTCCCCTCAGAGCGGCACCTGCCCGGTCGTTCCGTACAGGGCGACGTACTCGCTCTGCTGCTTCGCCAGTGTCTTTGCGATCGGGGAGTTGACGGCCGCAAAGCTCCCCCACCCCGTGGACAGGACGGGGGCCACGGCGGCGGCCATTTCCTCCGTCGGGCCGGGGGCTGCTGCTGCTGCTGCTGCTGGTTCTTCCACCACCACCGGTGCGGGGGCCGCCGGTGGCGGAGCCGCCACCGCGACCGGCTCGGGTGCCGGTGCAACTTCGGGTGCGGAAGCGGGCTCGGGCGCCGCTTCGGCCGGGGCTTCCTCCAGGACGAAATCGGCAAAGGCGGCAACGTCCTCTTCCTCCTCGACCGTGACCATGATCGGGACGCCGACCTCGATGTCGTCCCCGCTGCCCGCCTGCATGAGGATCTTGGCTGGGTCACGCGCAAAGCACAGAGAGCAAAGCAACGCACAGCACAGCACAGCGCAGCGCAGCGCAGCCAATACCACACAACCAGTAGAACACCGCACGCCAAATGGTTGTTGCGTTCATTCATCGCGGGATCCCCCGAGCATCGAAAGCGCGTGGTTTGAGTTAGTTAGGTACGGTTCGTTTCATTGCTTGTGAGTCGGTTTGTACTGTGCACATTGTTTGGTTGGCTGGCCAATCCATTCTCGCCGTGTTCCGTCCTGCTGTACAGGCATGCATTCCAAGCACAACACAACACAACACAACACCACACCACGCCGCGGACCACGGACGCTCCACCCGAGAAACCACCGAATCAAACCAAACCAAACCAAACCAAACCAAACCAAAACACCAAACGAACGAACGAGCGAACGAACTCACCGATGTACCCGTCGTCCTGCGCCTCGAAATCGATCGACGCCTTGTCGGTCTCGATCTTGGCCAGGGACTCCCCGGCGGAAAAGCCGGCGCCCTCCTCTACGTACCACTCGGACAGGATTCCCGTCTCCATGGTCGGGCTGAGGGCCGGCATGCCCACCACGATGTGGTAGGGGAGGTCGTCGGACCGGGCCGCACAGGATCGGGAAAACCCCCTGCGGGACAGGCGCGAAACGACGCGACGATAGGGAACGGAACGGAACGGAACGAAACGAAACGGAACGAAGCGAGGCGTGAGAAGGGAACCAAACCAAACCAAACCGGCAAATCCACACACACACACACACACACACACACACACACACACACCGTGCCGTGCCGCGAAATTTCTTACCGGAACGAATTCGTGCCAAAGCGGGAACACCTTCGGAGAGCCGCGCTGTGGAGTCGTGATACGGTAGAAGCCAACATTGTCGTTTTTGTGGTTTTGGTTTCCAAAGGAATGATGAATGTACACGGTTGGGTTGTGCTGCAATGGCTTCCTGGATTTTTGCACCGATGAGGTTGTCTTGGACCATGCGTACGATACCGTAAGCACAGTACGAGTTACGAGTACCACTTGCAGTACGAGTCCCAATCTACCGGTAGCAACTGCTTTCCTTTCCGATCGTGGCACGGGGAAGACGAATGTTAGGCGAAAAGGAAGCGGAGAAGGATTTTGGAGGGACTCGAAGGAAAACAAACGCAAGCATTTGGTCGAATTGATCAAATCAAAATTGCTCTAATTAATCTCCGATGTATTTCCAATGCAATCCTACTTTTAATACATCTTTACGGTAACTACGTACAGTACGTACCATACACATTTCACAACATTCACAATTCACAACCGTCTTCAAAACCATGACAGAGAGTGATTTGATGACATCGGTTGTGAAAAAGGAAGTAGGGAGATCCTCCTTTCCCTGAAAACACGCACAAACAACTCTCAAAAACTCTGCGCTGATTGATTTTGATGGATTGGCAACGGTACGTACGTAGTACTGTTTTTTTTAATTTTACTCGTACGTACCGTTTTCCTACCTACGTCTCCGAAAGTCGAGATGCGAGATCACATCTGTTTCCTCGTTGATGCTATCCGCTCGCAGATTTCATATGGCTGGATAATACAGTATTGGTACATTAGCAACAACACGACGATATAATACAACGCAACGCAACGCAACGCAACACAAATACAAAAACAAGTACGAATACACAGACACAGACACAGACTCTCTCAGTCCGGCAGCAAAGCAGCAATGTACCCGACCAAGAACGACAAGGCTCACGGCAATACCACTCTGTGTACTACTACGACTACTACGATTCGGAGGATACGACGGGGATACCTCCTTTTCTTCTCGACGACGACGACGACGATGCTGCTGCTTGGCCTGTGTCGGGTGGCCGGATCCTTCCAGTTTCGGGGCTGCCTCTCTCCGGGGGTTTCCAGAAGAACGACGACAACAACGGCGGCGACGCGGAGGACCAGACGCGCGTCTCCGGCGGCACCGAGAAACGGGTTCTGCCCGCACCGCCCGGGATTCCTCCCGGAGACGGGATGCCCCCGCGCCCCTCGCGGTGCCTGCGCAACGCGTCTCTTCGCCTCGGTCAACCCGGGCACCCCCGACCTCGCGGACCTCCAGAGGGGCTTCCAGAAGGCGAGGGAACTCCACGAGGAAAACCTGAAATCGATCCCCCCCAACCTGGACCGGATCGTCGAGGAACTCGAAACGGAAACCGCCGAGCCGTCCTTCTGGGACGCCGACAACAAGGCCCGGAACGCCCTGGTGACGGCGCGGCTGAGCAAGTACGGGCGGCTCAAGAACCGGGTCGGGGAGTGGCAGCGACTCAAGGAAGACTGCGAGGTCGCCCTCGAGATGGTCCTGGACTCGGAAACCGGCGGCGACGGCGTTCCCGGATCCTCCTCGTCTGTCTTCACCGAGGAGGAATACAACTCCCTCCTCCAAGAATTCGGTGCCTCTTCCGACAAGCTGCTGGCCGACGGGGAGCGGTACCAGCTGGAATCCTTCCTGAGCGGCCCGTACGACGACCAGCCCTGCCGGATCCTGCTGACGGCGGGGGCCGGTGGGACCGAGGCCAACGACTGGGTGGCCGATCTCAAGCGCATGTACGAGCGCCACGCCTCCAAGATGGGCTATTCGCTCACCATCGAGGACCAGCAGCCGGGGGACGTGGTGGGATACAAGAGCGTGGAAATGATCGTCGCGTCTCCCCCCGGTGGAAGCGGCGGGGAGGGAGCGGCGGAGCATCCCTACGGCTGGTTCAAGGGGGAAAAGGGGACCCACCGGCTGGTCCGGCTGTCGCCCTTCAACGCCAACAACAAGCGCCAGACGACCTTTGCGGGGGTCGACGTCGCCCCGATCTTTCTGGACGAGGCGGACCTCTCCGACCTGACCATCCCCGACAAGGACCTGGAGATCACGACGATGCGCAGCGGGGGGGCCGGCGGGCAGAACGTCAACAAGGTCAACTCGGCCGTCCGCATCAAGCACCTCCCGAGCGGCCTGAGCGTCAAGTGTACCCAGGAACGGAGCCAGGCCATGAACAAGGACCTGGCGATGAAGCGGCTCAAGGCCCAGCTGATCGCCATTGCCAGGGAGCAGCGGGTCGAAGAGATCAAGGAGATCCGCGGCGACCAGGTCGAGGCCAGCTGGGGGACGCAGATCCGGAACTACGTCTTTCATCCCTACAAGATGATCAAGGACCAGCGGACCGGCTGGGAGACGAGCAACACGGTGAACTTTATGGACGGGGACCTCGGGGACTGCATCGCCGAGCTCCTCCGGGCCCGGGCCAGGGACGAGCAGGAAACGGCTCTCGGGGAGGGGGGTTCAAGGGCCCCCTAGCGCAGCGAAGCGAAGCTCGCTGCTTCTGCCGCGTGTCGAGGTGGTCTTGCTTCGCGGCTGCAGCAGCAGCAGCAACCGCCGCCGCGATCGCATAGCACGGCCCGACCCGGAGCCGTTTGCCCGCCCGCTGCGAGAGGGAGAAGAGCACCACCGGTACGTGCCGGATCTGGACCGAGACGACACGCAGGCGGGCGGACGGCCGTTCTGCCGTCCATCGATTGCTGCGAGGGTCGGTCGGTCGGTCGGTCGAGGTTAAAAAAAAATGCTCTTTGGCTCCCGCCACAAACCCAAACGAACGAGTGCCGCCGGTCGCCGATCGCACCGCCTAGGTTTCTTGCGAACCAGTGCCGCGCATTTTGGAAGAAAGAACGATCGTCTCGGAACCATCCCGTTGTTTCGTCGGCATCCTAATATTAGTTAGCTGCTACTAGAAGTACTACGAAGTAAAGTACTGTGCTGTGCTGTGCTGTGCTGCGCTGTGCTGTACTGTACGACATTAGTTCACAAGAACGAGCCAATCCCCATGGACTCGATTCACTGGTCTGATGTATTGTTCCATTGCCGTTTTCCATCCAATGCCTTGTTGTTGTTTCCGTTACAGAGAGATTCCACAAAAAGCAAGGGATACGGTACAGACGTTTTGGGATTTTCACATTCGTCGCGTTTGGTACGTACGTACGTACATACGTAGGGTAGGAGACTACTGTAGAATACAGAAAAGCCACACCCCATAACCCATTCCATGGGTCGGTTTCGCAACAGGCACAAACAAAAATAATACCGTGTGGGTACAGCAGTACCAGGTACTGTACGCAATGATCGTGATTGTGTTTCATGAGAAGGCGAAGCCTGCAGCCAACAAAAATCTGGAAGCCACGGAACGGAATTTGTTTTGCTCCGGTTAGTTGGCACGGTTCGTGCCTGATACGTACGGTACGGGGTACGTACGTACCGTACGGTATCCGGTTCGTACACGATACGCGACTTTCATGGGATGGCAAAATACGAGATACGGTACTACCCGTACTACGAGTTGTTGCGTTTCAAGAGAGACAGAGATATCCACAGCGTCCTGCCTTCCAAAGACACCCCCGCGATCGACGGAAACCAGCACCGAACCAGAAGTCCCCCTCACCACAAGCCCCTCACCCGAAAAAAATCGAATCGAATCGAATCGAATCGAAGCTTCCACCAAGCGCAGAGCAGAGCAGAGCAAAGCAAAACAAGCACATCTTTCACGCAGACCGCGAGGCAAACCACGACACACGAGACGACACGAGACGACACGAGACGACACACCATGCCCCTCATTGCCCGGATCGCGGACTCCCTGGACTGGCCCGAAAGCCAGCCCGAAACCGTGGCCGTCGAGTGCGCGGGCCAAAAGTTCGTCGGATTTTACGGAATGCTCCGGGACGAGGAGAAAGCCTGGGCCTCGCACCTTGCGGAGCTCGAGGGTGGGGGGAGCTCGTCCCTCGAGGACCAAGGGGAGGCCTCCCCCTCGCAGGATTCCGTCCCCTCCGTCGACTTGTTTTCCCTCTCGGAGCAAGAACTGGAGGACATCGACTTCTACTCCGTCCTGCAGCTCCCGTGCCTCCCCTCGATCACCCCCGAGGACGTCAAAAAGGCCTACCGGAAGTCCTGCCTCAAATACCACCCGGACAAATCGGGCCGGGGGGAGGAAGACGCCGTCTTTCTCAAGGTGAAAGCCGCCTTCGAGACGCTCTCTACCCAGAAGAAAGCCTACGACTCGACCGAGATGCCCTTTGACGACTCGATCCCGTCGGACGGGAAAATTGCCTCGGAGGACTTCTTTGGGCTCTTCGGGCCCGTCTTTGAGCGGAACCTGCACTTCGACGCGAGGCTGCTGGGCAAGAACGCCGGGGGGAGTGGCAGGCGGAACAACCGGCGAAAGAGCGGCTCGGCGAGGAACCTCCGCGGCGCCAGGGGCCCCCCTTCCCTCGGCGACGAAACCACTCCCATCGAGGAGGTCCACGAGTTCTACGACTACTGGATCCACTTCGAGAGCTGGAGGGACTTTGGCCTGAAAGCGGCCCGCGAGCTCGAGACCCAGGAGCATCTGGAGAACGCCGAGTCGAGATACGAAAAGCGGTGGTTCCAGAAGGAAATCGACCGGGCGGCCAAGAAGCTCAAACAGGCCGAGGTGGCCCGCATAAGCACGCTCGTGGAGAAGGCCATGGCGGCGGATCCGAGGATGATCCGGGAAAAGAAGCGGCTCATCGAGGAAAAGGAAAAGAAGCAGCGCGACAGACAGCAGGCGGCCCTGGACAAGATCGAGGCCGAGAAACAGGCCAGGCTCGCCGAGCTGCAGAAAGCGGAGGAGGAAAAGAAGCGAAAGGCCGGGGAAAAGATGGCCCGGGAGCAGGAAAAGAAGAAGCTCCGCAAGGCGAAGCAGGCCTTTCGGAAGCTCGTCGCCGCCGCTCTCGAGGAACTGTCGGAGAAGGAGCACGCCCTGGAGGACGAGGTGGACCTGATCTGCGCGGAGCTGGACCGGAACGAGCTCACGAACCTCAACGAAAGACTCGATTCCCTGCCGGCAACCGAGGTGGTTGCGACCGTTCGGAAGCGCTGCGAGGCGATCCGAAACGGGACCCATTGCGAAGAAGACGGGGGGGCTGCCGAAGCGGTGGCCGGCGGGGGAGGCACCTCCCATGCGCCCGCATCCGGGGCCAACGGATCCCTTGCGTCCGGCGGTGGGGCTGCGGCGGCACCAGGAAAAGAACAAGCGGCGGGAACCGAGGCGGCACCGGCCGCCGCGAAACCCACCAAGAAAAAAGCCGTCGCCTTTACCAAGGAGGAGCTGGCGGCCCTGGCCAAGGCCGTCAAGAAATTTCCGGCGGGCGGAAACCGGTGGGACCTCATCTCGAACTACATCAACAACGTCTGCCGGCCGGAAATCCCCCGGAGCAAGGAGGAGTGCATCGAGGTGTTCAACCGCAAGCCGGCGAAGAACAAACCGGGAAAGATGGCACCAGTACCGGCCTCCGCTGCGTCGGCGGGCGAAACCCCCGCGCCCTGCTGGACGGTGGAACAGGACCGGCAGCTCCAGGCGGGCCTGTCGGCCTACCCCTCGAGCATGGAAAAGAACGAGCGCTGGAGCAGCATCGCGGGAGGGGTCCGGGGCAAGTCCAAAAAGGAATGCGTGGCGCGCTTCAAGGAGATTCGGAACGCCCTCAAGGCCAAAAAGTAGCGCACTTGGGGGTAGCAGCGGGGCACCCAGCGAGGTGCTTTGTGACCTTCCAGAGATGGTTGGCAATTCATCCAAGGACTAACTAGTTCCACCATCTAAGTTTATTGACGAAAACGATGCATCGTGCCTCTCTCTTTAGTTTTAGAACGTAACCAATCAATGAAAATATAGTGCTACTGACAGAACAATCAAAATTCCGTAAACCATACCCGACCAGATTCATGCCACACAAAACGAAAGAGTCGAAGTCAAAACTAAGATATTGCCACTAAGTAGCATCTGCTACGCCTTATGAGATTCTGTTGCAACAATGTCACAACTCATTACTCGCTCCTCGGTGTGGTCTCAATGCATTCCCAACAGGGTTACATGCCAAGGCGTGACTCAATTCTAAAACTGAATACAAAAAAAGACTACGTCATAACGCTACGTCTCCTTCTGGGTCTCCTTCTGGGTCTCGGTGTGGGTCTCGGTGTGGGTCTCGGTGTGGGTCTCGGTGTGGGTATCGGTCTCGGTGTGGGTCTCGGTGTGGGTATCGGTGTGGGTATCGGTATCGGTGTGGGTATCGGTGTGGGTCTCGGTGTGGGTATCGGTGTGGGTATCGGTGTGGGTATCGGTGTGGGTATCGGTGTGGGTATCGGTGTGGGTATCGGNTCGGTGTGGGTATCGGTGTGGGTATCGGTGTGGGTATCGGCGTAACTACGTTTCCTTTAACAACCAAAGAATAATTATAGTGCTTCCTAGCAACTTCGTGCATTCTCCTGATATCATGCCAGTCGTGCCAATATTTGTTAAAGCCATTCTCAAGCTCTTTATCTTGACCATCCACACCAACAGAATGTCTATCATCTGGAATCTGACCATTGACGACCTGAATTATCATACGTGAGGGGTAATTGCCATAGTACTTGTCCATCATATAGACTTTGCAAGCATTCAAGTCATTGTTTTCAAAGACAACATTGTTTCTTTCAACAACCAAAAAAAAATTTAAGTGCTTCCTGGCAACTTCGTGCATTCTCCAGATATCATGCCAGTCGTGCCAATATTTGTTAAAGCCATTCTCAAGCTCTTTATCTTGACCATCCACACCAACAGAATGTCTATCATCTGGAACCTGACCATTGGCGACCTGAATTATCATACGTGAGGGGGAATTGCCGTAGTAGTTGTCCATCATAAAGACTTTGCAAGCATTCAAGTCATTGTTAACAAAGACAACTTCGTTTCCTTCAACAACCAAAAACGATAATGAGCTTGGATCAAAACTTGGTTGTGAGCTTGGTTTAGTGCTTGGATGAGTGCTTGGATGAGTGCTTGGATGAGTGCTTGGCTCACTGCTTGGCTCAATGCTTGGCTCAATGCTTGGTTTTGAGCTGGGTTCTGAGCTTGGCAAAGAGCTTAGCATTGTACTTGGTTCTAAGCTTGGGATTCCGCTAGGTTCAAAACTTGGCATTGGACTTGGTATGGAACTTGGTTTGGAACTTGGCAAAACGCTCGGCTCCGAGCTTGGTTCCAAACTTGGCATTAAACTTGGTTCTGAGCTAGGAAAGAAACTGGGCAATGGGCTAGGCATTGTGCTTGGGATTAAGCTTGGCATCAAGCTTGGTTTAAAGCTTGGCATTGAGCTTGGT